CAGCCGCTGGTTGGTAGCTGGTAGTATTGTGTCAGTTGGGCTGTGTTTGGGTTGGGGTTGGTCTGTACAGATGGCAAACAGGTTTCGATACCTGTGAAGCCTTTCACTGTGTGGACACGTAAAAAACAACACTTCCCTATGCTTTTTTGCCCTTTCATCGTTATCATCATCTGCTTGGGGCCGGTGGCCGGGTTTGGCCATTCCCAGGCAAAGTCGGCTTAGGGTCTGCGGTTTGCGGGGGTTTAGAGAGTAGGAGTTTAGGGTTTGGGTTTTATTTCTGCAGGTTTTGGCGCCTTTGTTCCCTTACGATTTACTGTCTCTTGTAGCGGGTCCTCGGTGCTGCATTCAGTAATCGGGTTATGGGGAAGGTACAGGGACACTTTATCAACTCCAAATACAGAAGAACACATGACAAAACCTCAAAGCCCTTCAACCTTCAAGAGCGGCCGTGCTCAACTTGAAACCCGAACCCTTGGGAGGATTTCGCCCGACCTCCAGACTCTTAGCGCCCCAATCCCAAATCCTAGAGACTGTCAAGCATGAAGCCAGAAGTCCTAGAAACTACTATAAACCTTATAAAGCCCAATCCCTAAAAGCTTAAGGCAAAAACAACCTTACCGAACTTCAGCACCCGAGGCTCTCACGAAGATGCGGCGATTTCCAAACAAGCAAAAAGCTTTGGACCGTGTCAAGAGCGGAGCAACCTTTCCGTCCTATGTGAGACTTCCAGGCGCTTTAATCAGGATTGAGGTTTAGGGTCTAGGATTTCAGGCTTTGGATTTTGAGGGTTTAGGTACGGATTCGGCAATCTCATCTCACCCTTACACGCCTAAATCCCCCGTGGCAATGCCCTGTAACACTCAGAACCCTAAAGCTCCAAGACTTTAAAGCCCTGAACCCTGACATTCTACTTCAAAGGCCCAGCGAACTTCGCAAGTAGAGTCATTCATTGAGAAACAAAGGAGCGGATGATACTTCCCCTGTCTTCGGGGCTCATCGCAGGATGTGCTGGTGCAGCGCAGATTTATCCGGACGGAGATAATTTCTTCATGATCTTCGGCAAGGGGTTCGGTCTGCTGCTGTACAGACTGACTCAAAGATGGAAGGCTTGACTTATAAACAGCGGCGATCGTTTCTGCTTGTCTTCCGACTGTTCCTGTGGCTTCAGGATTCCTCTGCAGTGGCTTGAAATGAAGCGGTGGCTGTCGGATGCTCTTAGTTGAGTTGCTGAAACATCCAGAGAACATTTGAGGCTCGGGCCGGCCTGCAGTAGAAAAGAGAAGTGAGAAACCATTGCCTCGCCTCGGTTGCTTGCTAGTGCAAGGGTGATACCATGGGGAAAGATAAAAGTGCCAAGAAAAACGATGGCAAGAAAGTGAAGCAGGCTGCCAAGTTCAATAAGGCAGCGAGCAAGAAGGATCTCAAGAGCAAGGGTAAAAGCGACAAGAAGAAGAAGAAGAAGTCTTCTACCTCGGACGGCTCCAGCGCCAGTGGGAGTTCTTCGGAGGCCAACCCGCACTTGGAGGAAGCCAAGGAGCACCTCCTTACTGTGGGCATGGCCTTTGGATTGCTTCTCGTTTGCATTCAGAGTCCAGTGCCGTCCATATGCACTGCATCGTTCCGAAAACCGCCATTGGATCGCACGCTGTGTCGTGGTTCCAGGAAGCAGAAAGACCTCAGTCTCAACAACCAGAAGTGCCATCTCAGAGACATCACGGCGCCCCAGTTGGCGACCATCCTCGTGGGAATTGTCCCAGTTTTGACACCCAATGCGGTCATGAAGTTGGGAGGCGATGTGGTTCAAGCTGCTTGACTGATCTCTCTCGTTGATTGCAGCACTGTCTTGTTGGCTTCTTGTTCATTGCCATGTGCCCATTTGCGAGATGCTAGCTGACTTATTTGATCATATGTGCACCCGTCTGATAGTTATCCTTGTTTCGCGGACGTCGCGCTCTGAATGCATGAACAAATTTTCATCCGAATGAGTGGGTGTTGCAATGGCCAGAGCGAGCATCATGAGCATCAGGCGGTTTCGGGGCTGGTGCTAAAACCAAAGCCACCAAAGCCGCCTGGTCCATTCAGTTCTCCTGAGTGTTTATCCAAGGGTCTAGGCGAGCATCATGAGCATCAGGCGGTTTCGTGGCTGGTGCTAAAACCAAAGCCACCAAAGCCGCCTGGTCCATTCAGTTCTCCTGAGTGTTTATCCAAGGGTCTAGGCGAGCATCAAGAGCATGAGGCGGTTTCTGGGCTGGTGCTAAAACCAAAACCGCCTGGTCCATTCAGTTCCCCGCCAGCCGAAGTGTTTGCAGCGAGACTGCTGCTTTCAGGTTCTCCAGGCCTCCTGTGATGTCCTTCTAAACTTTTCCAGCTCCCAGGTTCGCAAAAGCCTGACGGTCCAGGCCAAGTCGATGCAGTCGGCGGCAGGCAAGCACGACCAGCACACCTTGGAAACCAAAATGGACATGCTGAAGAAGGAGAGTGGGGCAGAGAGGACGTGGAAGGTGAGGATGATGGAGCTGCTTTCCGATCGTGCCCATCATGCAGTTACGGAGGTCTGAACGGTTTCAGGTGGACCTGGGTCATCTCTTTCATTCTGAAAACTTCTGGAGTCTATGGCTTGACCACACCTCCCACTTCCTGTTCAGACTGCGCAAGAGTTCTTCAGAGTGTTCGCCCCCCCAAAGTCAATGCCTGTTCAAAGCCCCCCCCCCAATAAGCAAAGCTTTTCATAATACTAACCCCGCAAGAATCAAGACTTCTTCAGAGTCCAGAGTATTCACCCCCCAATAAGCGAAGCTTAGTCGCAGTACCAACAACCTGCACACGCAAGACTTCTTCACAGCCTGCAGCAGCCGCTCAGTAAGCAAGACTGGTTCAGATGTTCACCCCC